TAGGGTTTAGGGTTGAGGGCTTAAGTGCAAAAACACGAAACGGCAGACGAAAACTGACGGCGGAGCTTCTACCTTAGACCCCGACGCCGCAAGATGAAGACCAGGACTGAAACCTCAAATCTCAAACCTCGAACCCGAAGCCCCTAAAGTTACATCCGACAACCCAATTACACCCCAAATGATCCAAACCTCCTGAACCCTTAACCCTGAACCCCCAAACCCTAAACCTTAAACCTCCTAAACTCTACACCCCAAAACCCGAAGCTCTAAACCCCGAACCCTAAACCTTAAATCCCTGAACCCCTAAACCCTGAAACCCCAAAACCCTTAACTTTAGAGTAGCCCTGAAAGCAACGGTCCTCTGGGAACCCTCGATCTAGGCCCTACCCTAAGAACCCAAAACCTACTTTTTTGTAGGTCCCTATAAATCCCATATGTGGTTTTATAATAAGAACCTACAAAAAAGTGGGGTTTTGGGTTCTTAAGGTAGGCCTTAAACCCTAAGCCTTGAACCTTTAAGAGTTTAGGGTTTAGGGTTTACCTGAAACCTTGAACATTTCAGGGTTTAGAGTGTACCTTGAACCTTAAAGACTGAACCTTTAAGGGTTTAGGGTTTAGGGTTTACGTGGAACCCTAAACCATAAACCTCAAACAAAACCAAAAACCCTCAACCTCGAACTGCTGACCCAATCCCTTAACTACTATAACCTCGAACCCTTGACCCAAAACCTTAAACCCCAATCTTGAAAGCCTGCACCAAAAGCTGTAAAACCTGAACCACCACAACCGGGACCCTAAACCCTGAACCCTAACCCACAGCCGGGACCCTAAACCCTGAACCCTAAACCCTAAACTGTATACCCTAAACCCTAAATCCTAAACCCTAAACCCTAAACCCCAAACCCTAAACCCTAAACCCCTAAACCCTAAACCCTAAACCCTAAACCCTGAACCACAACCGGGACCCAGGTCGCCGGGCGCATCTTCGTCACGGAGGACTCGACGAAGTGATCGAACAAAGAGCGGAGCCTGCGCCGAACTTCAGCTTAGGGGTTTAGGGGTTTAGGG